AAAAAAACTTGCTTCAAGGTTTATCTTACCTTATATCCCGCCTCGTCAACGGCTTTTTTCGTAAAATAACAACTTTTTAGAGCTTTAATGTAGTTTTGAATACTTTATTCTGACGAGCCTCGGATTCGTGCTGGAATTTTAATATCTCGATAGAGGGTGCATGATGGTGGTAATACTAATCGAGGATGAATTAAAAAATAATTAAAAAGAAGCAATCAGATGAAATATAATGAACTTAAATTTTTWAAAAACATATCAATCTTCAACTGACTGCCAGTGGGGAATCTCGTCAATATTATTTTTGGCTATAGTAAACATATTCCAATATTCTGCTAAAATTTTCCTAATAGTTAAGTGACACTCTTGTGTAAATATTCAACAAAGGTAGGAAATATATTGCCACGTGGTCCATAGAGACTGTTCGCGCACCTATATTGATGATGTGTTGCAAGCATTCCCAGGAGGGTCAAAAGGCAAAAATATGGCGGCCATTGTAGTGCTGTTAACAATGGATGCTAATGAAAAATCTTTTGTTAAAAGGCACCACTGTACATGGCGGCGATAAAGTAATGTGCAATCGAAGAATGGTTCATTATATACATTTATCCATTTATTTTTCTGTTTTCCTATATGATRTTTTTTACGATATCGCATCCCAATAAGTGCATGCTTAACTATCTCCATATGAACCTTATTTCCGTTTTTATCGCTATTTTGCACAACATGACTTAATTGAACTAGAATGGAACATTCGAAGTTTGCGTTGGACCAAATGAGTACTTAGGTGACAGAAAGCCATTAAGCCAACTGACTAGAGCCTTAGTATATCAAGTAGTTATAGAATAGCTAGATGATCGAAGATGTGATCAACTGTGTACCGACGTTGATGTTCTTTGTTTATAGCTTTATATCTYGTGCCGGTATCATTCCAAAAATATGTAACATGTTTTTTCTTTGGGAAACAGGGTGTCGAAGACTATCCTTAAATTATAACAGCTTAACTTAAAAGTTAGAATTAATTAATCTTTGCCATTCTTCTCCGATACAACTGAAATGGCATATCCTCATTACTTCCTTCATTTATTTGTCGACAAAACACCTGGGTTTTTTTGTTTTTTTGTTTTTTTTCATCACGAAAAAAAGTTATATTGCCTTACTGTCCAAAGATGATACACTTTTTCGATTAGTTGACATTTGGAGTAGAGGGAAAGAATTTAAAACAGGTTTTATTAAATTATAGGAATAGATATATTATAGACATGATTGTTGTCATCGATTCTAACTAATCCAGAAAAGTACCTAGTAGAAGGAATATGATTATAGAACGCATCCGTTGATGTTTCCTGAAGGCATTCTGGAATGAAACTATAAATTATTAAAATATTTAAAGTACTGAACGTTTCGGCTTCGCAAATGAAGCCTTTATCAGCAAGATAGATTATACACAAACAATCTTTGCAGTGATGAAGGCTTCAGTTGTGAAGCCGAAACGTCCAAATATTTTAAGTTAGAGACAAATTTTATTTATTTTATTTCTAGATCTAGACGGAATTGTTTAGCACCTTAATTCTTACGCCCGAGACAGTATGTCGTGAACAACTTGAACCGTTTGTCAAATGTCAAGCCTTATAATAATAGAAAAAGAAATGAACGGAACTCGGAAAGATGGATGGATGGATGGAAACATTTGAAACAATCGCATCTAGGGGCGGTTTTGGTTTGTTCTTTAATGACATCATTAACGTCATTAATTGCGTTTCAAGTTCTTCGCCTCAAAATTCGTCCTAAATTTGTGTTTTTAGTTTGGACTTAAGGGAGAAAAAAAAACAATAAATAATATAGATAGAGCTCCCAACGAAGCTGATCAACTACAATGGCTTATTCAATTATATATCACGCCTATCTAGGCTTCCTGCTAATGCACTGCATTTAAGACAAGTAGGAAAAAACAGACTTAGCGAAGAGATGTTCTGTTTGAACAGAAACATGACTATAAACAACAGCCATCATTTGAGTGGTTGTAAGCAATATCTCCGTTCAGTAGCTAACAATCTTCATCGATAGAATCTTATTAAGGATAGAAGCATATCCTTTGTGATACTGACCTTAAATGCCCATGGGCAAACGTATTTAAAACAAAAAGGGAACATATTTTCTAGGAAGTACAATCTAGCCATCTATCACTAGCTAATAAATATATAGTACCGGAATCCATTCGTCAGTAGAAAAACAAAACAAGTCGGAATCGAAATAATGGGAAATAATTTACAATAGATTTGTCAATGGGATTCCATGAATAATATCTAAGTTGTTAAAAGGTAGTTTATTCGTAAATGATTAAACATTTCGATTTGTACATGATAAGATAAAAAAATTCAGGATACGAATATACGCGTTTTCGTCAGAAAATTACGCCCTCAGCGGCTTAGAGTGAATAGATAGATGACTTTGCAACATGCTATCTAGGCAGATCGAGAATAACTAGAAATTCAAATTAGATTGTCGACTTGATTTTCAGTTGTCGAGAGCTAAATTGATCGGCAATATACTTGTACGCCATCGCCGACAGCAGAATAGCATTACCACACTCATCACTGAAGAAAACTGAAGAAATACCAGGAATCATTATGTAGCGCGCCTTTAAAACCATTTATTATCGACCATAGACGAGTAACACGCTGTGCTCCTTTGAACGCAAACAAGTTTAAGGTTCGAATATTTTTGCGTGGATTTCAGTCCTTCAACTAAAGTCGCTTGTGTGATAACAGCTGCAAGTTCTGGCTATTACTGGGGGCTTTTACATCGTAGTTCTCATCCGTTTTCAGTCAAATATGTCTATCGCAAGTTGGGCGCAGAACAAAAGCGGTGAGGAAAACATGTCAAAGACGAACTTGACGAAAAAGGATTATTTGGGATCCGAAGAGCATGAAGAAGAAGGCAGAGTCTTGTTGCAAGTGGTTTATGTTATCATATTTATTCTTGGTATGCTTGGCAATACAGCAATGATTTTCTTGCTGAAAAGAAAGCGACAACGGAGATCCCCCAGCAATTTGTTGCTTCTACACGTGGTGATCTCAGAAATGTCTGTCCTGTTGATGAACATTCCTTTCGATATGGTTCTTATAATCGTGAATCAAGAGTGGGTTTTTGGAGGGCTCATGTGCAAGGTTCTATGGCCTCTACAGACTCTCACTCTGGGATCTTTTGTGTGGATTTTAACATTATTGAGCTATCATCGGTATCGGGGGATCGTCTTTCCACTAATGAAGAAACTCTCAACAAATGCCGTTAGCTACCTTATCATGATAGTATGGTTCTCGTCTCTAGTAGTGGTTGTGCCATATAGTAGTTTCCTGGAGTATCAGAATGGAGAATGTATAGAAACGTGGGACATCGCCGTCAGAAAGAGTTACACCCTTATTTTCTTCGCCTTCCAATACGCCTTTCCACTCTTGATCACCATTTATTGCTACGCGAAGATCGCAGTCGTGGTACGTCGTGGCCAGCATCGAGTCAAGAGGCATATATCAGGCAGCTCGCAAGCGGGGTTAAGACACAAATCGAGAGGTCTTAGCGCCATCCGTACCGCTGTTCTCTTTATGGCCACGTTTGCCGTCTGCATGTTGCCACATCAAGTTATCTGGCTATGGCTAGAGTTTGGAGAACACACACACTCTGTTAAAAATCTCTTATCATTTGCTTACATCTTCACGTTTACGTCTAGTTTCATGAACCCTCTGGTGTACATTTTCAGTACACCATCGGTAAGAAAAGAATTCAAGCGCAAAGCAAGGGCATTTAAAAGAGGAAGCTCAGGAAACTCCTCGGAAAGAAGGATTCTAAAGAAATATAGCCTGCCTTCCTCAGGGATATCCACCATGATGTGAACGACCATATTCTTCCTTTCTTTCTTTCCTTCTTTCTTTCTTCCTTCCTTCCTTCCTTTCTTTTGTTTTGTTTTGTTTTCTTTCTTTTGTTTTCTTTTGTTTTCTTTTGTTTTTTTTCTTTTGTTTTCTTTTGTTTTGTTTTTTTCTTGTTTTTATTTATTT